GGTGAAGAAATGAATCGTGGTCACTACACGTGTATGTTGAGAGCTGACACAAAATCGGAATGGTATTACTCTAATGATTAGGAAATGTTCAAGAAAAAATGGCCCAAAGGAGCACAGGGGGCATACATATTGTTCTTAGAACAGATTAAATAATAGCGCTGTATAAAGGCTGCCGTAAACGCTACATTAAAACATCAACTGTTCTAGCGCTGTATAAAAGTTGCCTTAAGCGCCAAAATAAAATATCGGCTGCTCTGGCGCTTTATAAAAGCTGCTGTAAGCGCTGCATTAAAACGAGTGCAATAAGTTTCTAATTTGACCTAGGCTTTATGACATTTCAAAAAGTATCATCAAGAAAAAAATTATCAGACAAAAATATGTATGTCGTGTTAAAATCGGAGAGACGAAGAAAAATATATGGTTGCGTTCTCACGAGAATGGGCGATGGAGGGGCCCATTCTTTATTTTCAATATTCATACAAGAATATAAATTCATTCTGTTGCAATTGAAATAAATGTGCAATGTATCGTTAAAAGTTATTACAATTATACAAACATTTACATATGTGTGCGACAGGAGGCAGGATAAGGATGTCGGAAGCGAGAAGACGGCGAGGCACTACACTCGACACACACGTATCGTTTAATATAACTATATTTGAAACTAAAACAAAGAAAAATACAAGTACTGAAACCGCACAGAATTTACAAAAAGATAACTGATTAGGAGAATCCAAAAGAAATAGCCGAGTCGGTAATTAATAATTAAATGTTCCGCAAGCAACGGTAATTAAACGTGGTAAAACGAAAAAAACAAGCGATCCTTTTTCGTACAGTAGAAACACACTCTTGACGCGACGAGCAATCGGAAAAGAGCGCCGCGATCACGAGAGAGGAGGTTTTTATAGGCCCGTGTTTCTAGAATAGTCGAGAATAATTCTCTTTATTCTATCGTTCGGCTGAGGTCGAAAGAGCGTTTTGTGTAATTATTTACTTTTAGAAAAATAATCTTTTTGTTGTTAACGGGACTAAAATGTATCTCCTCTCGCGCGACCGCGGTGTTTACAATTATCGATGAGTCGACGTAAGCGCTTTCTTTTCGCAGGCGCGGGGTACGTATACGTATACCAGTGCGGCCGAGCGCTATTTTAAATAATGTTAATTTAAAATTATGCATGATGCATGTTGCATGGGGATGAAACGGCTGCATGAAATTTAACGCAATGATGTTTTAATGCTCTTAATCCTGCAGGTTTTTTAAACGTTCGAATCTCGAACATTCCGGCCGCCTTGCAGGAGTATACCTGCAATAATAATAGCGTGGAAGTGGGGGCGCGAGCCTATTCACGCTCTCGCGAGTGACGGGCACGTGGAGCGCACGTGCTCTGACGGATTTCGCTCAAGAAATGCTGAATCGAACAGCTGTTTATTTTCGAGCGCTGAGGATAGACGTATGTCGGTGAACGCATTGAGGAATACGCGACAATTTCGATTGTGATATTAACCGTGATTACATACTGAAACGAATAGTTAAGTGATAATAAGATTGCAGCGATGAAATGAGTGGAGTAGTGAGTGGAAGGTAGTTATGATTGAAGTGAGGTAGTTTGGAACGGTGCAATTGAAGTGTTGATGAGTTTACTAATCGCTTGTGGTTTTAGGTGACAGATCGTCAGCTTCGGGAAGAAAAACGAGTTTGCTAACGGGTCGCGTCAAGACAGTGGTGGCGGTGCGGACCTCGACGACGCGAACGTGTCCGTCGGCTCCGGAGAGCAATTTGGTGATGCGTGCTAGAGGCCACCTCGTTGGCGCGGTCATTTCGTGACATATTAAACAGAGTCGACCGACGCGAGCTTCCCGGTTTATCTTGAACCATTTCGGCCGATGAGCCAGCGTGTGTAGATATTCGCGAGACCATCGGGACCAGAAATGATCTTTCATCTGTTGTAGAAGCTGCCACCGGGAGAGGCGCGACGACGATTCCTCGGTCAGCGACGGTTCGGGGACGGCGGAGAGCGCGGAGCCGATGAGGAAATGGCCGGGTGTCAGCGCACTGAAGTCCTCCGGGTCGTCGGTCAGCGGTTGCAGCGGTCGAGAGTTGAGGCAAGCCTCGACCTGGGAGAGGAGAGTGGCCATCTCCTCGTAGGTGAGTGTGCTTCTCCTATCACTCTGCGAAGATGGTGCTTCATTGACTTGACTGCCGCTTCCCAGATACCACCGAAGTTGGGCGCAGCCGGCGGGTTGAACCGCCACTGGATTTGCTCCTGAGCAGCGAAGGAGGCGACGCGACGTCCTTCAGGGTTTGTAGCGGAGAATAAGTCTCGGAGTTGAGTGTCGGCGCCTATGAAGGTGGTCCCACAGTCGCTGTATAGCGTGTGACATACACCTCGCCGAGCGATGAATCGACGCAAGGATGCCAGGAAAGCGTCGGCCGAGTAGTCCGAGGCGACATCAAGATGGACGGCCCTGGAACCTAAACAGATGAAGACGACAATGAAGGCTTTAGAAGATTTTTGCCCGCGGCCTTTGGAACTTCGCAGCCAGACGGGTCCGGCGTAGTCGACGCCAGTATGGAGGAACGGTCTTCCTGGTGTCACTCGGGGTGCAGGCAAGTCACCCATGAGAGGCTGTGCTGTAGCCGACCGCCATCGCAGGCATCTAACGCAGCGGTGAATGTGGTTTTTGACGAGGGATCGTCCACGAGGAATCCAGAATTCTTGACGGATGGAACACAGGGTCAGCTGGGTGCCCCCATGCAACGATCGTCGGTGATGTTCATCGATGACGAGGTGAGTAATTCGCGACGAACTCGGTAGGATGATTGGATGGGTAGCCTCAAAAGACATTTGAGAATGTCGTAGACGCCCTCCGACGCGAATAACGCCCGAATCGTCCACAAACGGGCTGAGCTTATTGAGTGGGCTTCGGTTGGGCAGTGATGTCAGTCCTCGCAACGATTTTAACTCATCCTTGAAATTTGCAGCTTGGACGACCCGTATCCAGTGGATCAGCGCGTCATGAAGTTCTTCAGCGTCTACCCCGCCGTCGCGGTTGAGAAGGATGGGCTGCCGTCGGCGTTTTCGTAGCCACCGGAGACACCAGGCGGTGATGCGAAGGAGTCGCTGCAGGGAAGAGTATCGGAGTAGCAGCTCCGGTTCGTCTCCTCGCTTGTCCAAGACGGCAGCGTGCGAACGGGCTCGACGCTCGGGTAGCTCGACGTTGCTGGGATCATCTCCGAAGACAGTCCAAGGGCCGCTCTCCGTTTTCAGCCAAGAGGGTCCCTGCCACCAAAGCGGATGCGCCTCAAGCTCTCCAGGGAAGATGCCTCGAGAGGCGCAGTCGGCCGGGTTTTCGCGTCCAGGGACATGATGCCAAAGGGCGTCGGGGAGCGTCGTCTGAATTTCGCTGACCCGGTTGGCAACGAATGTGACTTAGGAAGAAGGATGTCCACGGATCCAGCCGAGAACCACCGTGGAGTCTGACCAGAGGTGAAGAGGCGCCTTTTCAGCTCCGATGAGAGGCAGCGTTTGCTGAACGAGGCGGACCAGAAGAGTTGCGGCTGATAATTCGAGCCGAGGTAAGGAGATTTGTTTCAGCGGAGCAACTTTCGTCTTGGCAGCAATCAGCGTAACTCCATACTCCCCGTTCTTCTCGGTTTTTAGGTACACCACAGCGGCGTAGGCACGGACTGAGGCGTCAGCGAATCCGTGGACTTCCAGGCGGCAGTCAGTCGATCCTCCGCCCAGCCATCGAGGAACGTGCAGTCTCTCCAGTTGGGGGAGCTCCGCTTGGAAGCGTAACCAGGCCTTCTCATGGTCGTCCGGAAGAGGAGTGTCCCAGTCGATGCCGAGCAACCAAGTAGACTGGATTAGAGTCTTGTCGAGAACAGTCGTAGGAGACAGCCAACCGAGCGGATCAAACAGCTTCGCTGTCAACGATAAGACTGACCGCTTTGTGATCGTGGACAGCGTTGGTTGGCTGGTGGCGAAGGAGAAGAGGTCGTCGCAAGGTTGCCACCGTAATCCCAGGGTGGCATGACTTTCCCCAGGCAACCACCATCTTGCCTCTTGCTGGAGGCAGTCTTCGGTAGGTAATGTCGACAGTAACTGAGGGTGATTAGCTGACCATTTTTTCAGAGGGAAGCCTCCCGCCTTGCAGACCAGAACAAGCTGTCGGAGGATTTCCTTGGCTTCCTGGAGGGTAGAAGCTCCAGACAGGATGTCGTCCATGTAGACGTCGGAGCGGAGGACCGCGGCTCCCTCAGGATGACGATCGCCTTCGTCCACGGCGAGCTGGTGCAGCGTGCGGATGGCCAAATATGGAGCGCAGGCTAAGCCGTAAGTTACAGTAGTCAGCCAATATTCCTTGATCTCGGTCTCTGAGTCCTTCCTCCATAATATTCTTTGCAGGCTCTGATCATCGGCATGCACCAGGATTTGCCGGTACATTTTTTCAATGTCGGTAGCAAAGACGTACCGGTGCCTTCTCCACCGTAGTAGGATGTCAGCTAGGGCGGGAAGCAGGTTGGGTCCCGTCATCAGAAATCGGTTGAGGCAGTCGCCGTTGGCCAAGGAGCTCGAACCGTTGAAGACCACTCTCAACTTAGTAGAGGCACTGCTTTCGCGCAGAACCCCGTGGTGAGGAAGGTAGCAGGTTCGCTGTAGAGATCCAGTAGTCGACAGGGGAGCCGGCTTCATATGGTTGAGGTCCAAGTATTGCTCCATGAAATCCACGTACATGCTGCGGAAGGTACTTTCTCGTTCTAGTTTTTTGCTGACGTGTTGCAGGGCCCGACTGGCGGCGCGTCGAGTGGCTGAGAGGGCAGGCAGAGGTTCAATCGTCGGCAGTCTCACCACATATCGACCGTTGGCTGTACGAGTGTGATGTCGCAGGAAGTGATCCTCGCACTCCTGGTCAGCCTTGGAAAAGAGTTGTGAAGGCCGTTGAAGCTCCTCCTGCTCCCAGAAGCGACGCACCAGGATAGAGACGTCGTCTTCAATTCAACATTGATGAGTGTGAACGTGATGTCCGGTAGTCGTCTCACCAACAACGCCTGACAGTATCCAGCCGAGCGTAGTTTGTTGAGCTATTGGTTCATGTCGATTTCCCTTTTTTAGGCCCTGACAGAGGATTGAGCCGTAAACGTCCGCGCCAAGGAGGATGTCAACCGGATCAGCTGAGCGGTAGTCAGGGTCCGCGAGTTCCAGACCCTGAAGATGAGACCAGTTTTGCCCGCCGCCGTTGTAGCCGCCGGCGTAGATGGTCAGCTTCGGCAGCACCAGAGCGTTGACGGTGATGGAAGGGCAGCCACGAAGAGACTGGAGGGTGAGTACCACTTTACCCTTTGAGACGCCTGTTTTTTTCCCGCCGACTCCATAAACTGAAACCGAAGCGGAGCTCCGTGCTAGCCTCAAGCGTTGGGTGAGCCTTTCCGATACAATGGAGGATTCCGAGCCTTGGTCGACGAGGGCGCGAACTGACTGCCAGGACCCATAGCGATCGCATACGCGAACGCGCGCCGTGGCCAAAAGTACCGCTACAGGCGTCGGAACCGGTCCCTTGCTGACGTGCGACGTTTTGACGGTCTTCGATGAGCGGTAGGCATCATGGAGTGAGGTATGATGCCGGTCATTGCACGCAGAGCAGTTCTTCTTGGAGGCGCACTCCTTGATCTTGTGTCGGCCGAGACAGTTTCCGCACAAGTCGTTGCCTTCGACGTGCTGCTTGCGCTTTGAGGCCGTCATTTTCTTATAGGTGTCGCACAGCATCACGAAGTGGTCACCCTGGCAGGCTGAACAGCGTCCTCTGGTGTTTCCCTTGAGCTCCTTTAAGTCCTGCTTACGAGCATGGTGGGTACGAGTCGACCTAGACTGACTCCCGCTGGCTTTGTTGGGCGAGACGTCGATCTTCGTCGAGGGTAACGACTCCAGAGTGTGAAGACGTCGCTCAAGGAAACGCTCTAGCAGAGCGTATTGCGGAGGCTCGTTCGTTTCACTGATGGAGGTCTCCCACTCGCGGCGAGAGCGACTATCGAGAAGGTCAACGGCGAGGTGCACAAAGAGATCTTCAGTACTCCCTACTGGCCGGTCGATGCTCGTCAGCGAGCTGACCGTAGTCTTGATGCCGTGGAATATCTTCCTAAGCTCAGCAGCGGATTCTCCCTTCATCTTTGGCAGGCTTAAAAAATTTGTTAAATAAGAGCGGGTTAGTAAGCGTTTATTTTCGTAGTAGTCGCTTAGAGTTTGCCAGGCTCGTTCATAATTGGCTTCGGTAGAACTGAGGTCTCTGATGAGAAGATCTGCTTCGCCCTTGACACAGCTCTTCAAGTAGTGCATTTTTTCTACAGGCTTCGTCGTCTTATCCTGGCCGATGAGGGAGACGAAGAGGTCTCGGAAGGCCGGCCAATCCTCGTATCTTCCCGTAAAGGTCGGCAGCTGGATTCGAGGTAGCGTGGTGCGAGGCGCCGATGTTGATGTTTCTGAAGTAGCAGAAGCAGCGGCGCGTTCCTTTTTCTGGAGAGTACGCCGCATCTTCAACATCAGGCCCTTGTTCACTAGGTAAGACTCTTCGCCGAGTGAAGGTATGTCCTGTTTAGCATAGACGTCATGTTTTATTTCGTCTACACGCTCAGCCAAGATATCATTCATCGCATCGAACTTCTCCCACAGTTTGTCGAGATTCAGAAGCCGGGCTTCCACCGCGCCGAGTGTGATGTTGGCCTCGCCGAGCTTCCGAAGGTTATCGTATGCGCGCGAGATCTTGCCATATAGCGCGGTGGCGTTGGTAATTATAGTTGCCGTGTCTGCCATCTCTGACACTGTCTTATTTTTCAGATGCACTGAAAAACTCTACGCTTCCGTGGCACCGGATTCACAGGAGGTTCTGGAGGATCCGGCTCGAAGGACCAAAAATAATGTGCGCGACAGGAAGCAGGATAAGGATGTCGGAAGCGAGAAGACGGCGAGGCACTACACTCGACACACACGTATCGTTTAATATAACTATATTTGAAACTAAAACAAAGAAAAATACAAGTACTGAAACCGCACAGAATTTACAAAAAGATAACTGATTAGGAGAATCCAAAAGAAATAGCCGAGTCGGTAATTAATAATTAAATGTTCCGCAAGCAACGGTAATTAAACGTGGTAAAACGAAAAAGACAAGCGATCCTTTTTCGTACAGTAGAAACACACTCTTGACGCGACGAGCAATCGGAAAAGAGCGCCGCGATCACGAGAGAGGAGGTTTTTATAGGCCCGTGTTTCTAGAATAGTCGAGAATAATTCTCTTTATTCTATCGTTCGGCTGAGGTCGAAAGAGCGTTTTGTGTAATTATTTACTTTTAAAAAAATAATCTTTTTGTTGTTAACGGGACTAAAATGTATCTCCTCTCGCGCGACCGCGGTGTTTACAATTATCGATGAGTCGACGTAAGCGCTTTCTTTTCGCAGGCGCGGGGTACGTATACGTATACCAGTGCGGCCGAGCGCTATTTTAAATAATGTTAATTTAAAATTATGCATGATGCATGTTGCATGGGGATGAAACGGCTGCATGAAATTTAACGCAATGATGTTTTAATGCTCTTAATCCTGCAGGTTTTTTAAACGTTCGAATCTCGAACAACATATATGATTAAATAAAATATATATGTATACTATAATATAATTATATATTTTATATATGTACATATATACCATATATTTCAATTATTTTGAACTGTGTGACGACCCGTTTTGTCGTCACTAGAAGCCGCGCAAGCGCGAGGCCGACCGCCCGCCCGCACTCATACAAACGGCCCCTGTCGGGGCCACCACACGTCGAACACGTGGGAATTTGCCTTTTCGCCCCACCCGACCGAACCGCCCCACTCCAAGCTAGTTGGAGGGGGCTGACCGACGGGTATATAAGGCGGTACAGCCGAGACTTCGAGGAGTCCCGTCCTGGTCTCTTGAGCGTACTCAAGGACCACTCCTCACCTCCTAGCCATCCCGGGCGACGAGCGTTCTCGTCGCGTAAGCCGAGTGTTCTCGGGCACCGGATCCTCTCCGAACATCACCCCGGTCGACGAGCGTTCTCGTCGGGCAGGCCGAGCGTCCTCGGTCACCGGACCCACTCCGAACATCACCCCGGCCGACGAGCGTTCTCGTCGGGAAGGCCGAGTTTCCTCGGTCACCGGATCCTCTCCGAACAGCACCCCGGTCGACGAGCGTTCTCGTCGGGCAGGCCGAGCATTCTCGGTCCCCGGATCCTCTCCGAACATCACCCCGGTCGACGAGCGTTCTCGTCGGGCAGGCCGAGCGTCCTCGGTCACCGGATCCACTCCGAACATCACCCCGGCCGACGAGCGTTCTCGTCGGGAAGGCCGAGTTTCCTCGGTCACCGGATCCTCTCCGAACATCACCCCGGCCGACGAGCGTTCTCGTCGGGCAGGCCGAGCGTCCTCGGTCACCGGATCCACTCCGAACATCACCCCGGCCGACGAGCGTTCTCGTCGGGAAGGCCGAGTTTCCTCGGTCACCGGATCCTCCGAGAGTCACCGACATCTTACGGAGCTCGCCCTTCTCAGGGCGCCCGAATCAAAGGCGGTTTACGGAGCTCGCCCTTTTTCAGGGCGCTCGTATCCACGCCGCGTTGGGTAAATTTCGTCCGCCGCGCTACTATCTTAGTTATAAGTCGTGTCCGCGTCCGTATGATTTGGTCGCGTTTCACCCGTCGCGTTATTATTTGTAAACCTTAGTTATAAGTAGTGTCCGCGTCCGTATGATTTGGTCGCGTTTCACCCGTCGCGTTATTATTCGTAAACCTTAGTTATAAGTAGTGTCCGCGTCCGTATGATTTGGTCGCGTTTCACCCGTCGCGTTATTATTTGTAAACCTTGGTTATAAGTCGTGCCCGCGTCCGTATGATTTGGTCGCGTTTCGTCCGTCGCGTTATTATTTGTAAACCTTAGTTATAAGTCGTGTCCACGGCCGTATGATTTGGTCACGCTTCGTCCGTTGCATTACTTGTATTCCTTAGTTATAAATCGTGTCCGCGTCCGTATAAGTTGGTCGCGGTCCGCACTTCCTGCGATTCCCCTCTGTACGCGTAGACTAGATAATAAGTCAACTCTCGAAGGGTGGCTTCAATAAACTCTGTTTTTACCAGAACGATTGGCGTGGTTATTGCGAACCTCAGTCTCCCCCTCTTCCCGAATCCTGGCACCGACGAGCCGATCCGTGGCGTCGGGAAGGGAGCCCCGTTACAACTGTATTGCATAAATTGTTACTTATACAAAGTTATGTGATAAGAATCGAAAATACATATATTTGTGATACTTGAATTACTAGAAAGCTGCTCTATATATCTGTACTTTAAAAAATAAGTGATATCCTAAAAAAATCATAAAAATGAAAAGGTCAGGCCATGTTCAAAAGAAGGTACTCAAAAATTTAAACGATCTAATAATAAATTATCACGAAAAGTAACTGATATGTTATTCAAGGTGCCAGTTCAAAGTGAACATACGTAAAGTGTATATTATCTAAATTTAGTAATAATATATTACCATGAAAAGTAACTGTGATATTTTATTCAAGGTGCAAGTTCACATTGAATATACATACTGTGACGTGACATTTTGTACTGTCCGTCACAAGGGCCGAAGGCCCGGCCGGGAAGGCGGGAAATTCGGGAACCTTTGCTCTCTCGCCAAATTTTGAGAGAGAGAGAGAGAGCACCCGAACAATCATTTTGCGTTTTCTACCGCGTCGGAGGATGCGCTTCGCGCATCCGTTTCGCGAATTACTTTTTGTATGATTTTTGGTTTGAGCGATTTTTGGCGTTTTCGGCGAGCAATTTTATCTAGGGTACGTGTCTCAACCGAGGAAACCAATAGAGAGAAAGAGTGAGAGGACGGAGAGGACGAAGAGGACGATTGAGGACCGAGCAGGAGCCACCAAGTCCGGATCACGCCCGGTAAATATTATTTTCACATCAAATTTCTGGCTTGCTCCCCCCGTTAAGAACCTGGGTACCGCCGTAAAATGTTCCTTCTTCCGCAGAGATTCCGGCCAGAGACGGGGATGGCCACTCTCTCGCGAGAGGCGAGAGAGCCCCGCAAACGAAAGGCGCGGGAGATACCCTACCTTGAGCCCCGCAGATCCGGATACACCGAAATCCCGTCATCAATCAAACAATCGATCTGGCGGATTTTTGGGAGGAATCGCGAAGAGGTGCACTCGTGGGAGTCTTCCCGACGGCCCATAAAGAGGAATACCGGAACCCGAAGCGGAAACACAGAGGAACGGCGAGGGAAAATTTACATCCAGAAAATTCGCAGGGCCCCGCGGGGTACCCGGCGGCCCTGCCAGGATAAGGAGCGCCACGGGTGGAAAATGCCAAATTTAGTATCGGCGTGATCCCGGCAGGCCTCTTGCTCGTCACTGTTCGGCGAGACGTGCTAGAGAGGAGAGGTTCCTGCGCGGATGCCGAAGCACCCGAGGACCCGGCGATACCGGTGAGACGAACGGCCCTATCTAATATTGTAAAGCCGCTAACTTCTTTCTTTTTGTGAGTACCGTATTCGGGAGAGAAGCGTGTCACGGCCGCGGCCGGTTAGTAGAGTCACCGGTAATTTCGTGATTTTGAGAGTTTAATTTAGAGTTTCGTTCCGCGTAGAATTTATCCCGGCGCCCGGCCGACCGCGTGCTCTCTCCCGCGCGTAAATTAAGAGAGGCTCTCTCCCGCGGATACGCCGACAGTCGCCGCGATTTTTGTCACGTTAATGTAAAATTTAAGGTATCGTCTTGTAATTACTGTACCGTTCTCGTCTGTTAGAGTTCTAGATCGGAGAATAGAAAATTATTTAAAGTCACGCATCCGAACTAGCGTATTCGTTCTCGCGCATATCCTTATCCGTGCCGTCTTCGGATCCTTTGTGAAATATTGCGAGGAACGACCGGCGTGAGCGATCTCAAAGGAAGTCGCGCGGGACCTACTCGAGTTTACGGAAATTTTGTATTGCCTAAGACCATCGGAATTAATTACGCCGCACGGACCTTATTAAGTCTCGTGCGTTAATAATTATTCGACACGTAGGCGTGCGAATTTACTTCCGGGTCCCGCGTGTCGTCCGATATCCGCGTCGGGTCGTCTCAAAGGCGCGGAATAATAACAACGCGCCGCGTCTCGGCCGTACATACGCCGTATTGTATTTTTTGAATCACATTTCGGCCTCGTTTATCTGTATTTCGGCCTTATGAAAGCGGAGATCTCTCCGTGATATATCGAACGAATATTACTTTTCTTTCTTGACCTAACATTGTACTCGAGTCTCTCTTTTTTTTTTATGCAATTATTTTCCTGTCTATCTTCATTCATCATTGTTAAATATATTTACTGTTTGTTATATTTGAGCGATTTCAGAATAGCCTCTCTCGAATTCCGTCCTCTCTCCCGTCAGAACTCCCTCCTCTACCCCCTGACGATCTGAGCAAGTCGATTATCGCCGTCGCGGAAATTTTCGGGATACTTTACTGATTATAAAGGTCATTTGTCGAGTTGTAAAATTTCAGAGTGGCGCGGATCTCGCGCCTGGCGCCCAAACAAACATATTTTTGCGTTTACGCGAATTCCCCGCTTTCCGCGCCGAAGGTGTGCCGTCGGCCCCTTACATCGGCCCTATTTCCCGGATCCTTTTCGATCCGACGGACAATATAAAAAGAACGGTTACAATACATATAAGTAAAACTGATTACAATTTGATTCTAGAAAATAAGTGCGATATGTTATTCTTAGTGCACAAAATATAATAGTCGTTTAT